ATACAGACGAAGCCTCGGCCACGTCTGCACCATGGCATCCAGCCCCAGTGGAGCTGGATGCGTGAGGGAGAACCAGAGCGGACAGTGTGCCGTTTCCTGCGACACAAATAGATCCACTTCTGCCTGGCCAAATTCCCTCCAAATGAGCTCCACCACCTCGGGGTGGAGCCTCCATCCCCCGGGGCTCAGCCCCTGTCTCGACAGGATATCTGCCCCCTGATTTAGATACCCAGGGATATAAACTACTCTTAGAGAGAGGCGCTTCCCCTGAGCCCACAGAACGCAGACCCCCCTGCCGATTGATGTAGGAGACCACCGATGTGTTCGAAACACGGCCAGCATTTCCAGGCAGTTGATGTGCCAAAAGAGATGATGGCCTTCCCACAGACCCTGGGCAGAGCGGCCACTCATGACCGCTCCCCAGCCCGTGAGAGAGGCATCCGGCCTGCTCGGGGCCCACTAGTGTGGGGATGACCCCGTTGAAACAAGGAGTACAAGAACCAAACTGGATTCTGTAACCTTTCTCTACAATCTGCAGGACCCATTTTGAGATATTTGGTAGAAGTTTCTACGCTACCAGAAAATCTACTAAGGGAACCAGCCTCTTGGGGGCCTCTGGTATTATTTGAGGAGCCAGTTCGGTGCTCTGAAGCAGATGACCGGAAGGGAACGACCGACCTGTCTGCTGTAGCACCCTCAGTTGAGGGGGCGAGCTCTCCCATGCCGTACCGTTGCTGGGCGGCAGCTGGGAATTTCGCTCATCGGAGCTCACTGAGCCCTGAAGCATCGAGGTGGCAGGGGTATCAATGAACCTCCATGAGGGCACTGAGGGAACAACCGACCTTGATAAACCACAGCACGGGCTTCCAAACACTGAGAGAGAGCCGCGGATCTAGTGGGTGAGGACAGAGAAAAGGACGAGCCCGTCTCGGATCCCTCCGCTAAATCCACCCGTGATCCCCACGACAACAGTCTGCGCTGTGCCTCGGCAATAGCGGGACTGCTGCCAGCGGGATTGCGAGCCTGGCCGCTCTCATCAAACACAGCCAGGCGAGAGCGGAGTATACGCAGCGAGAGTAACTCGCAGTGATGACAATCAGCTCCTCGAAAGCTGACCGTGCATGCTCCACTCCTAAACAAACGACACACAACCCGTGTGTATCCCCCGCCGCCAGATATCGTGGGCAGGGAGGAACACAGCGTTTGTAATGCCGTTCGCTCGCCATAGACTTTTTCATGATTGTTTTTTATATATGTTTGTTTGGACAGACAACAGTAAATAGACAGACACATACACAGAGCGCTACTGAAGAGCAGAAGCTGGTTTGCGCTGTGCTGGATGCGCTTTTATACTTTCTGGTGCTTACGTCACCCCGCTCGTGCCGTCTCGCTGCTCCATTGGACTGATTTGACACATGCTTCAGAACGCGGTCACGCAAGGGC